TTTTAAAAAACACATGTAACTGATTTCATTTATATATAAAAATTACGATCATATCTTAGAGGGAATTAACGGGTATAAAAAGGGAACAGGTAATTAAAAAAAAAAATGTCTAAACTATTTCTCATCAAAAACAAGATGATATAAAAAAAATTGGAAATTTAAATTCAATTTTATCATTCAAATATCAAATGACAGGTATGATACAAGAATATGCAATTTAAATAGCAAAAGTAAGTTTCAAATTACTTAAAACTTTCAAATATCGGGACAAGAAATAGCGGATATGTAAAGAGAACGGACGAGTAATTTAATTAGTTAATTACAGGCTATATAATGTTATTTTTAAAACAGAAAACATGTAAATGATGTCATTTATAATAAAAAAATATGATCTTATCTTAGAGGGAAAGAACAGGTACAAAAAAGGAACGAGTAATTAAAAAATGTATCTAAATGAATTTTCATTTAAAACAAGATGATATACAAAATTTGGAAACTTCAATTCAATTTCAACTTTCAAATATCAAATGACTGGTATGATACAGGAATATGAAATTTAAATAGCAAAAGTAAGTTTCAAATTACTTAAATATTTCAAATATCGGGACAAGAATAACGGATACGGAAAGATAACGGTAATTTAGAAAATAAAAATTATTATCTTAACTAAGTCTAATATTATACAGAGAGAATTATGGGTAACATTCAAGAAGACATATTACTTATTCATATGGGTGGGCCAAAATATTTTACTTTGTTGCACGACATGTATAGTGAACGGGTTTGACTCTCTTGACATCTATATTTATGTTATTTTATTCAAAAGTTTTAATGTTTTCTATTGTTTTTATGTGATGTAATAGTTCGCAAATTTAATTGATTTCTAACTTATCATTAATTTGATTCACACTCGATCCGGATTTCTTATCATGTCGGTCCGAATATTGCAAACTTTATGATAAATTTAAATTTTGCAATCATCCCCGCACGTACGTGCGGGTCCATCCCTAGTAAACTTTAAATGAGCTCTACGCTCCGCAAAAATATGCCCGATGCACATAAAACTTAAATGGGCCCAACGCTCTCGAGAAGTCTGCCCAAGGTATATTATTCTTGAAAACGAGCTCTGAGCTTTTCATAACATGCTCAAGGCATTGTATCTCCGAAAATGAGCTATGAGCTCTTCATTACATGCCCAAGGTATAATATCCCCGAAAATGAGCCGCGACCTCTTTACGACATGCCCAAAGCATTACGTCTCCGTAAGCGAGTTCTGAATTCCTTAAAAACATTTCTAAATTTTGAAATCACAACGATTTACGGCCTTTACCTTGGCCACCCTCAGCTTCGTGCCAAACTAGCAAACCTCCAAACTCAAAACACATCCGTTGACCTCAAGAAAGCTCTCGCTCGCCAAATCGAGACTTCTCACGAGCGACCAAGAGCACTCTAGCTTTTTGAGTAAAGCTAAGAACAGGATTCAGACCTTCAGTCTTTACCCAAAGAGGTAGCATTTTCTACCTCCATTAGCTTGTTATTCTCTTTTTGCTTATATTTGCAATCTGTACTATTGGTGGTTAGTTGATAACTGCCGACCTTAGACTCGAATCTCTATAAAAATGTTCTTTTGATATACGTTAATAAAAAGGATTCTCTTTACTGTTTACCCCCAAAAATCACATTTATTTAGTCGAAACCTCACTAGAAACAGGAGGTGTCCCAAGGTTGGGGTGTCGATCCGACACCAAGTTGATCTCGATCGATACTAGACGTTTGGTCGCAGAGGTGTATTTTTGGCTGTTGACCAACAAGACCATTTTAAAGAACATGTTTACAGTAATTATCGTTTTTCTAACGTCATTTGAATCGACAAGAACGGCCTAAAGCCAAAGTTATACTACACGGGTCTGATTAACGGTTAATGATCATCATTAACCTACTTCTCAATTGGGTTAGTTTTTCCTCTTCAACAACCAACAATATTTTTATTATTATTTTCTCATTCGCACAGTAATTTTAAAATAACATTTCATGATTTATAGTCTAAACAGGAGGAAAAGAATTTACTCCAATGGCTTAGCGGAGTAATTTGAGTTTTAAAAAAATATTTTGAATCATTTTTACAATATATAATAATTATATGATGAGACAATCAAGAGAATCAAACAAAGATGAGAAGAAGAATAATATGGAGAAACATTTATTCTTGTTATTATCTTTTAATTAAAAATTACTTTTGATTTAGTAGACTATTTTTACAAACAAATATATCGTTTTTGGTATTTAATTCGTAAGGTTTATCGAGGAAACGACACGTACGTAATTTAGGTATTTGACTTATCAAGTAATCTACAAAATCTTCACCATTCAACAAAAAATAAATGTTCAAATGCAGTAACTTTGATTACAATTCTTACTATAATTTCAATATAGAAAGGAATTTTCTATCATATTTTGGATTTATATCCATTTATTTCGTACGATTACTATTTATAAACATCGATAGGTATAAATCTAAAATATATATAAAAAAACTTTCCCTTGACTGAATTGTAATAGTAATCAAATTCACAAATTACCTCTGAAATCAACATCCCCTAAAAGGTGAATATCTAAAATAAGATTCATTCCATAATTTTTTTGTATCATTTTGAAGTTTTCAAAGCAATATAATAAATATTAAAAAATGTGGACCAAAATCAAATCTAAAATATATTACTTTCCTAACATATTTTTCTCTTAGACTAATATATAAACAGCTATAAGTTCTTCATATTTTCAAGTCATTCATATCTCTTGTTTTCTAGCTTTTAGTAACTTACAGAAAAAAAAGAAGAGAGAAAATGTATTCCAGCAGCCGTGAAGACTCTTCAGCTAATGAAAGAGAAACATCTTCTGGTGACACCAATGCCAATCAGGAGGGGAGCAATCACCAACACCACTCTCATCATCAAACTCTTAGTCTCGAGCAGTAAGATCATGATTTAATTTATATTTGTTTTTTTTTCTAAAGTTGGTTTATTCATTCATAATAAAAAAATGTTGAACTAATATTATTTTTTTATAAATTGATTTAAGGTACTTTACTGAACGTGAACATCCAAACAGTGCGCAGCGACATCAACTGGCTGAAGAACTCAATATGAAACCAGAACAAATCAAATTTTGGTTTCAAAACAAGAGAGTCCAAACCAAGGTTTTGTAAAATAGTTTAGCATATATTACAAACTGATTTAGTTTAATTAAACCAATTAATGGTGATTGACTAGTTATTGTTATTGCTATTATATATTGTTTATCATCATTATTGTTTTGGAGATATTTTTTGAGGTTTGTCTAAAAGTTTGGCTATAAAAACTAAGAGTGAGTGAAGTGACCTTAGTCTAGTGGCGATGATAAGTCCACTGATGGACAGACACCATCACACCAGGGATCGAGTCCCGCTTCCTACATATTTGTAGGGAATAGGCTAATGGGCCGGCCAGTTGTGGCCCAATGTTGACAAAAAACAAAAAAAAACTAAGAGTGATATATTTATGTTTTGTAGATGAATAATGAAAAAGCAGAGAATGCAGAGCTTAGAATTGATAACTTGACACTGCAATGTGAGAATGAAGCAATGGAACAGGCAATGAAGACTGTGGTCTGCCCTCCATGTGGTGGCCGTAATCCTGGGAGAGAAGAGCAACTATGCCATCTCGAAAATTTGCGCTCGGAGAACACCTTTCTCCAAAGAGAGGTATGTATTAATATAAATACTTATCCAACAAAAATTTATGTTGATTAGTATTAGTTTTAAGTTTTAACCGGCTCATATATCTCGCTAAATATAACTTTGTTTTTCACGCTAATTATTTTTATTTTATTTTAGTTGTTTTTAAAATAAACCTTCGAATTATTTATTTATAATTGGAACGCTAATTTTTGTTATATTGAAGATAAACGATATTTGGTTCATTTCTGCGAGCGCGTTAAATATTTTAAAATAAATGTTATGTCGTAAACTCTTTTATCATATTAAATCAAGCACTAGATTTTTTTTTTTCATATAACTTATGCAATTTAAACATACTAATAAATTAGTTAGATTAAATATATTATTTTTTGCATTAAAATAAATGATTATAGGTGTTAAAATTTTTAAGCAATATTTCTTCATTTATTGGTATTACAAAAAGCTAATCAAGTTATTAAATTACTTTTACTTTATGACTTAAGTAGGATTTAAATATTTTAAAAGAACATATGATAAGGTGAAACACTATATTAGATTTTGCTTTTTTCACTAAAAGTTGTCTTTACAATGTAAATAATAAAATCACTAATATTTTTGTCAATCTAAAATATGAATAGCAGCATGAAAGACTCTCAAGCTACGTTACCCAACACAGAGGCTCAAGACTTAGCATCCATGGTCCATCAACCTACGGATCAACCTCCAGGACTCGTCCTACTCCATATGGAAGCTCTTCTAACCATCGTCCCAAACAATCAAGCTTGTTAAGAGGACCATATGCTCGTGAAAACATCAACATCACTCCAGTGCCTAAGCCGCGAAAACTAGTACAGTTGCAGCATTTCCAACCGATGTCTCGACAGGAGAAAGCTGAGATGATTGAAACCGCGGAAAATGCCGTGGCAGAGGTTATGAGTCTCATTCGAATGGATGAACCAATGTGGGTTAAGTCACCTATTGATGGTAGGTTCGTCCTTGATCCAGTGAACTATGGGAGCATTTTTGGTAAGATGAGCCAGTTTAAGACTACAAGTGTTTGTCCTCGTGAGTCTTCCAAGGAAGTGGTCGTTGTTCCAATGGATGCAACAAATTTGGTCGACATGCTCTTTGATACGGTACATACTTCATTTTATTCAAATGAATTATCAAATCAAGTACTAAAATTATTAACACAATACACATATTAATTATATGCTCCTCTCATAATTACATTTTTGTAACACAATACATTGTAGGAGAAATGGGCGAGGCTGTTTCCAACAATTGTAAATGAAGCAAAGACGGTTCATGTGTTGGAGACCATTAACCGTCGAAGACCAACTTTCTCAAGAGTGGTATGAATCTTAAAATTGTTATAACATTTTAAATTTTCTAAATGTTAGACTTAACATAAAACATTTGGTGATAACAAATAATGATATAGATATATGAGAACCTGCACATGTTGTCACCATTGGTGCCACCTAGAGAGTTTCTAATACTCAGAACCTGTCAAAAAATGGAAGATAATCTCTGGTTGATTGCTGATGTTTCCTGTCATCACCGAAACATTGATTATGATTCTCCCGTTTGCACCAAACGTCCCTCAGGTGTACTGATACAAGGCTTAGCCCATGGTTGCTCTAAGGTCTCTTTATCTCTTTCCTCATCTTTGATACATTTTGAATACACACATAAAAGATACTTATTGTTTTGATTTTAAACTAAAATGGGCAGGTTACTTGGATTGAGCATGTGGAAGTGAGTAATAATCTGCAGCCACATCGGCTTTACAGAGACCTCTTGAACAGCTGTTTTGGCTACGGGGCTCGACGTTGGACTGTTACTCTTGAGAGGATGTGTGAGAGGCTGTCTCTCTACTCTATGCATGAAGTCCCAGCCGCTGACTACGTCGGAGGTACTTACACTATAACTACACACATAACCATCATTATTGGAATTGGAAGGATCTTAGGCTAAGATTTTGTTAAGAAAAACTCTTATATAAGCTCTTAAATGTGCGGATTTAATATTGACCACAAATGCTAGTTTCAAAACTTTGAAATGTTTTCATTTTTTTTGTGTAGTTGTGAGAACAATACATGGAAGAAGGAGCATAATGAATTTGGGAGAAAGAATGTTGAAAAACTTTGCTTGGATCATGAAAATGGCTACCAAACTCGATTTCTCGCGACCATCAGATGCTGATAACAGCAAAATTCGGATCTCGGTGCGGACAAACACACAGGCCGGTCAACCGGTCGGTCTCATTGTCTGCGCAAGTTCATCCTTATCTCTCCCCGTCCCTCCAGTCCAAGTCTACAATCTCCTTAAGAATCTGGAGGTTCGTAACCAGGTAAAACGAATACATGGCTTATTCATCAATCAGCTTAATATAAAAACAATGTGGTCATGTTTCACATATTTTTTGAGTAATTAACATGAAATCTAATAACATTTTTGTATGTATACGTAAAAAAGTGGGACGTTCTCTGCCATGGGAATCCAGTGATTGAAGCTACTCGTTTTGTCACCGGATTGAAGAAAAAGAACAACGTCACTTTTCTCCAGGTATACATATATTTACCACTCCTACTAAAACAATATCATAACTAGCATAGATGAAATATGATATCGAATAATCAGGGAGTAACGTCTAGTAACCTTTTAATTTCCTTGGCATTATATTGACTATGATTAATTTTTACATTATATTATATAGACATCAAGTGAAGGGGACAATACTGAGATGATGATACTACAAGATAGCTTCATAGATGAATTGGGAGGTATGGTTGTCTACGCTCCAATGGACCTAAAGACGGCGTACGCAGCCATTTCTGGTGATGTTGATCCTTCCACCATTCCCATCCTCCCGTCCGGTTTCATCATCTCCCGCGACAGCCGCTCTTTCCCGGGGGAGCAGGACGGCCGCTGCATGACACTCCTCACCTTGGCTTTCCAGATCCTTGTCTCCGGTTCGATTTCTTCTACTGAACTCAACTTGGGAGATGCTACCACCACTGTTGAGACCTTGATTAACTGCACCGTTCAAAGGGTCAAGGCAATGCTTAACTGCGGATGATGGATGCAATGGTCAGTGAGAGTTTGGTTAAGTGACCAGTTCACGAAACTAAACTCTCTTTTGGTGTTTTGTTTTCTCTTTTTCTTAGGTTTAAAATAAAGTGAGGATTGAGTATTCTCCGTTTGATTCGTACTTTTTCGTTTTTCTTTGGTTATAAACTTGTTGCAAAACATATCTAAGGCATGGGCCTTAGACACAAAACAATGTTTATGTATTGTCGCCTTTTGGCATGTTTAATTTTTATGTGATATGTTATTGTTGGATTTATAAGATTGTTATTGCTTACTTTTTTTTTGAATAATCAAAGGGTTTTGGGCCGAAACCCATACATCTCCTCATGACCGAAACCCATACATCTCTTCAGGCCCGAAACCAAAACATATTATATGGTCTTATCGCAAGCGCTAATCGAACCGGTGACCTCTAAGATTTTGCCAGAGATCTTTACCTTTATTGCTTACTTTATCTTTTTATCTATCATTATTTTCATATTTCTGTTTTTTTCCATCTAGTTAAACATTCTAGTGTAGCTTCTGAGTTTGTAAGGAGTAAATCTAGATCAAATATATTTTCTCGTACGTGAAAACTACACTATCGTTAATGTATAGAATGTGATGTATGCGGATGACGTTGATCCACATAAGGGTTTCTTGTGATACCAGAGAATGTTGTGAGTCTGTGATTAGGTTAACGATTTGGGACTTTTAAAGCTCACAATATGAACATATAAGTCTAACAATTGATTTAATTCCTGAATTATAGTCACTAGAGGGGACAATCTTGGTTCATAAGCTACCCTTCAACTTTATCAATTTAAACAAATTTTGATGTGTTTACTTCCAAATATAAAAGGACAATGACAATAACAGACAAATTGGGAAGAGCAACAAGTAAACGACGCAATTTTGATAGTTGAATTATTAAACAATACTAGAGAGACTCGAAATTGACTCTCATGTTGCGTAAGTTTAGTGCTATACATATTGATCTGGTTATTATTATTATTTGTTTTTCAAAATTTTCTAGTTATTATTTTTATTGAGGGATTTTTACACTAGTAAAATTTAACTATTCAATTTTCTAAAATTAATTTTATAAAATTTTTTCTATTACAAATTTTTCTGAAAAATGTATGAATTTTAGGTAGAGAAAATGCTTTAATTAGTTAACCTTAATTTTTTTCTGTGATAAGGAAAAATTACATTATTTTCACGAACAACAAACTATATTCAAATAGTACGTTCTTTTCGAGTTATCTAAATCATTTCTTCATATATTTATATTTAGTTTATTCAATATTTCATTACAATTATGATTTTTTAATCGATCATTAAAAATATTTCATGGTATTTTTAATACAATTCTGATATCATACAAGAATAAGATCAACCATGTGATATAAGATATAATTATATATAATTTATAATTTATATATGCAATTCTGATATCATATCAGAATAAGATCAGCCATGTGATGTAATTATATAACTATATATAATGTATAATTTATATATTCATGTAAATTGTAATGGTGGGAAAAAGCAATATTTTTTTTGTTATAAGGGATTCATGAAAAACTTGGAAATTCTAAATATTCATAAAACTAAAAATATATAAAGTTAGAAAAATTAATGATTAAAAGTTTTTCCACAATATCGTCTAATATACAATTCTAAAATTTTAAATTCCCTCTCAAATATACATATATCTTTTTGTATTTATAATCTTAAAAAAAGTTGTAAGTCAAAGAAGAGGAGATACATTGAGAGGGGGAGATCTTTTGAGTAAGACTTTGGGTAAACATAGAGATTAGAGAAGAGATACAAATGTCGTCGCTTAACCTCTCCTCTCTCCACAGTTTCATGTCCTCCCAAAAGTCTCTTTCTCTATTTTTAATTATTTCTATGAACTTTTACTTACATTAGTCTTTCAATTACATTATGTTTTAGTTGAAAACTTAACAGTACAAGCAATTCAGTTGTTTAGCTGACCCTTGAAAATTACGATATTTCTCCATCAACCATTTCAGTTTAATTCTATTTTTTTTTACCTTAATCTCTATTTATTAATACATAGTTAGTATTCTAAGGTGTGTGTGTATATATGTGCCCTCCCGACACAGAATCAGCGTTCATGAAACTGACATTTTTGCCTATTGTCTCATTGACTGTCTTCTACTTAATTCGTGAATTTAGGGTTTTCGAACTAAAAATTCGATGAGTTTTTGCTTTAGCAGTTTTCTGATTCGAGAATCCTAAACTCACGAAACGACGTCATATTACTCATCTCTGATGTTCCGTCATTACCACGGTGTTGGCTCACTCATCGCCGTTAAATAATTAACTAACACCATTTCAATATATGTTAACTTTGGCTGATTTAATATAATTTAGGTTGAGAATTTGATTTTTTTTTTTTGAGTTTAGGTTGCTATTTGCCGGGTATCGTAATTTAGTTATAAAAATACCGCAAGCAAATAGTCTGGGTTGATTTTCGCTATTTTCCGGTATTATAAGGTGTGTGTATATATGTGCCCTCCCGACACAGAATCAGCGTTCATGAAACTGACATTTTTGCCTATTGTCTCATTAAAGGTCTTCTAGTTAAGTTAGTAGTAGCCATACGTACGTATGAGGATAGGATGTGTAAAGAAGATACATGCACGTACGATCTGATCTCATTCAAAGTAAAGAATAATTTTAACAAAACTTAAATCAGTCTCTAACTTGTGTAAGACGATAAAGCCGAGCTTTCTACTTTAACATTTTTTCCACAAGAAATATTGTAAGAAAAATTCTGATAGAAACAAGAAACGTCGAGACAAAATGTTTGAAGAATAAACTTCTCAAGCAACCGCGTGAGGATTGATACATTATTATATATAACATTTCTTAGACAATACATGAAAAAACGAACTGACAAAGAGAATGTTGTATAATAAATGCTCGGAATTTATATAATAAATTCTTTCACGTCATCTTTTTTTTTTTTTTTTACTCAGGGTAAATCTTCATACATACCCATGTGGCAAAAGAGATAAAGCTAGCAATTCTGCGTATGAGGAGAATCGATCCCTATCCTAAATCAACAAGGCGACTCTTCCACCAAACTAGAACCACTAGCCCACCACCTCTGTTTCACGTCAAAAGTTTTTATTAATTTATTTATATTTAGAACACATACATTTAACTTCCTAAACTTTTTGTACATGACCACGTCCGCAAGTTTCATGATAAAAAAATGGCTTATTTATAATATACTTCTTGATTTCTTCTTTTTTCTGAAATTATAATTTAGTATAAAAAATTACTTTATCGTTGGAAAAATTATGATTCAGAAATTTGCGATGATATAATGGTACGCAGTAAACAAATAAACAAACCAAAGAGATTGAAGTTAAACAGTATGTAAATGATTGTTGTGTCTATTACTGATGGACACTAGTGTAGGTTTGGAGAGTTTGCTGCACCAACTTGGCTTTTACCAAACACTACAAGCTTAAGTTCATCGATCACATAAATATTTAGTGCGACAAAGACACACGTACTATTTTTCTTTTGAATAAACAAAAAGGTTTCAGATCAAAATCCGTACATCCCTTTATACCCGAGACCAGAGCATATTATTTGGTCTCGACCCTATCGCTAATAGAACCGGCGAGCTCTAATTTTTTGCCATAAATTTTTACCAGTTGAGCTATTAGCATTTGGTCGATACACTACAATTTGTTTTTAAAAGAGACTCACACAAGCATCTACTTTAAACAGAATTGAAATCATGGGTGTGTTATTGTGTGTGGCAAATTGGCCATGCATGGCCTGTGTTGTCCCCTGGTTTGTCTGACTTTAAGTACTCATCGGATTAAGGTTGATCGATCATCCTGAAAGGGTTATGGAACACATACTTTGTATATGCATTAAGTTACTGCATATAAATTAATATATATATATATTAATATTATTTTTCTAAATTAAATTATCCTTTATCATCTATTTAATCAACGGAAATTATCCTTTATCATATAAATGCATAATTTTATATAATTAACAATTTTCCACAGCTTTAAACCGAATAATATTCAGTTACCTATCGTTAAGTCTACAATTCATTGTTAATATATAACTAACAAAAAATGCATAAAAAACCTAAAAATTGAATCCATCATCCTTCTTAGAAAGGTTTTAATGGATTATCAATCATCCATTCATCCTTATCGAAAAGTTCTTAATTTTTGCATCTCTAGTAACATTTTATACATTGTTGGTACGTACGAACGTAGAAATATTTGGAGTAAGAAGAAGCCATGCATTAGATGACAAATCAAGAATCGTCGCCTTGCGTGCATGGGAAAGGTTCCTTTAGTCCAACCACGTAATCCTTTTTTTTTTTTTTTTTTTGTGTTTTGGCTTTTCACATCTTTGTTGACCAAACTTACCATTACTATTAAACTTTTTTTGTTTATTAATTACCACTAATTAAATTTCCCAATAAGTTCACTTTGGTCTCTCCCATTACCAACTCGTTATTATATTCCGTAAATACTCAAATTTTATTTGTCAATTTGGTAATAGTTAATTTTGTCCAGATCAATGATTTTTTTTCTGAAATAATTACTTAGATGTACCACATTTTAGGTGTATTGACATAAACCATCCAAAACTTTTTTTTATCCTTAAATATTTTTTAATTACCAGCGTGCCTTTTTTACACGTTATCGGAAAAAACTAATTACGCAAAATGCCACTGCCACGTCAGACAAAAAGGCGCGTGCCACCAATAACTCAGCCATAACGTACGTTACGGCTGAGTTATATCACGTTATGGCTGAGTTTTGGAACAACGGCTGAGTTTCGGGTCAATGGTTGACTTAGGATCATAACTCAGCCAACAGTTACGACTGACTTATAAAAATCTGGTTGAGTTATGAGAAAACGGCTAATAACTCAGCCGCCGTTACGGCTGAGTTATAGTCCGATGGTTGAGTTATCAGAAGTTTGGCT